GTGTTCGACTAGAAGAGGTGCGGCGCAGATCGATCAGTGTTTGACATCCGCGAGAGCGATTCGAAAGCGCACGGAGCAGTCTGCTCTCTTTAGCTCTCGTGGTACTGTAATACACTGATCGGTCTGCACAGTCGGTCCGCGTCAAGTTGAACACACCTAATAGTTTACACCGGTTACACTCAGAGATGTGGCGCACACATGAGGCTGTAGTGCTAATGCGTCCCAGCCCCCTTAGATGTAAGGCTACATTTACACTGGTGCTTTTGTTTTAAAATGAAAACGATCCTCATCATACTGGCGTTTCAAGCCGGCTTTCCACTATCTCCGACAAACGACAAGTGACAAACCGGTCATTCAGTCATTCATTTCCAATGGAGAGTAGCGCGGGAGCTGCGTGGAGTTCCGATCATATGCGGATGTCCGTTAATACTACACACCCGAAAGCGCATGTTATGTGACCATTCATGCAAACTGTAGCATCCTGCTACATAAGACAGTAAATAAGATTTATATTCCGCTTTTACTCAAAACTCACTTTAAACCACCATCGAGTGTTTGTAATAACTTCAGATTGCCGTCTAATGTGTGTTTTGGCCATGTAATGTTGCTGAAATTAAATATGTTATTACCTTTGACTCTGAGTCAGAGCAGCGATCATGGAAGAGAGAACACAGGCAGAGAGCTCTGGAAGCTGCTAATGCTCATCAGTAAATCAGTGGAAAATAAATAGAAATCATGATTCTGCCTGAGCTATGCGTTTTAAAACGAACACGCACTAGTGTAAAATGTAGCCTAACAGATGTGTAAACTGAAGACTATTTGAGCTTTATTAAAACTATTTGCACTGATTTATTGTGTTGGTTACATTTTGTTCCTTTGTGACTGAGTCTTTGAGTTTGTATAGCTGAAAAATTAAACCAAAGATTTTTTTTTTAGATAATGTAATCTTGTTAAAATTGATTTCATAAAATTGGTATCAAAAAAAGTATCATTCAGGAACCGGTACTGAAGTCAAGGTATCGGTATCAATATCGAAAAAATTTTAACGATACCCAGCCCTAGTCAAAGGTTGAGGAATGAAACGAATGAATCGTAATTTAGGAATAGAATCACGTTGGTGTTTGAATCGTGTTTGTGATCTTTAATGATCTGTTAAATTAAAGTGCTTTGTCATGTTGGTGGTGACACCTCTCTTGCAACATCATGTTTATCTTACCCCAAATATTATACTTAGCTTTTTCGGCTTCTGATCACAAGTGTAGCCAAACTTTGGAGCGCTTAGATTAGCGAGCAAGGTCCGAATCGATTTTCGATTCCTAACCCTACTTTAGACCATGATTCCATACAGTCAGGGGATATCAAACATTATTGATATTTTGAGCTGATCTTAGAACACATTAGGGCCTTTCGCACCGCAGGAACCTTTTCATAGTACCAGAACTAATTGTGGAACTACCCACTTTTTGGCGTTTTCGCACCGCCGGAACTGGGAGCGATTTTAGTACCGGACTGCCTTTTTCGAGAACCAAATTAGCTCCTACTCCGGAGCAGGGTCTAACCAGC